AGAAGCACAAAGGATTGGAGTAGTAGCCGGATCCACAGGTTCTAAGACCCCTGAGGACACTAAACGATCTAGTTCCTTGCTAGTTGCACTGTGTAATGCGAACGGAACAGGTCTCGGTTTGTGTATTGGCAATTGTACATCATTAGCTACTCTAACCTTAGCTTTGAAATTTTTCACTGTTCCTAGGTTATTGGTAATTATGTCTTTGAACTCTTTATATATCTTACGCTTCTCCACCTCTTTGTCTATAATGTCCGTGTTAATATGATTGACGCTATAAGAATTTTGCTTACATACATGTTCACAGTTAGGATCTAGATTAAATGCTACAATCCAATCTTTACCAAGCAGAGGTGTACCTGAAACACTTAATTGCAAAGTAGTTGATCCTAACGAAACAGCGACCTTAGTCTCGCCGAGCATAGGTATTCTAAATGACGGATAAGCACCCAGCTCCTCCGTAGGAGTCAGTGCCGGTTCACCAATTTGTTTCCACGTAGATTTACTAATTATAGTTCTTGCAGCAGCAGTGTCATATTCCATCGTTATTGGAACCCTATTTATTGTTAAATTTACAACGTAACAAAATTTCTCTACATTATTAATTTGACTTATGTTTTTTACCAAACCGGGAGGCTCAGCTAGTTCATCAGATATGTCAGGACATCCGTCATTATTTTGACGGGAAAAGTCTACATTGCCACTATAATCACTCATACCAGCAAACTTATCAATTTGTTTGACATAACGTCTTGAAAGATTTTTCTCAATGACGACATTATTGGATTTCAGACAAACTCGTTCAAAATGCCCCATTTTCCCACACGCTCTACATTGAATATTCATTGCCTTGCAATACTCACCTGTTTTATGTTTTGCTAAACCACACCTCAAACACTGTGACTCAGGATTCAAGCTGATTCTAGTACTGTCCCCTTTGTATAAAGGTTTAGTAGTTCGTGTAGCCCTTGCCTTATTTACCTGTGCGTCACATGAAAATGTCCCAAGTGTTTCTATTTGTTGTTGTTGAGAATGTGCCATTTCCATGAGGTAGGCGTCTTTAACAATGTCAACAAGTCTTGCTTTTTCCTCAGGATGTTTTCTGATGAGCTCTTCCTGCATTTTAGGATCATTTAAGCCCAATAAGAACTGGTCTCGCAGTCTTTCGTCAAGTGTATCTCTAAACTCACATTCCGTCGCACCAGCTCTCAAATTGTTTACAAATATGCGTATAGATTGATCTTTGTTCTTCACGATTTTTCCAAATTTTAGTCTTTCGGCCAAATAGGATGTTTTTGGTTTATAGAAATTTGAAATAAACTCAACAATTCCCTCGTAATCTACTGTTAAAATAGGTGTTGGATAAAAGTTATCAACCACAATTCTATAATGTTCAGCACCAATCCATTTCAGAAGTAAAATTCTCTTAGCTTCTTGATTGTGTTGTAAGCCACAAACAATTATTTCCAACTCAAACCTTTGGTAGTAGTACTTCCATGTTTCTTTGGTAGCATCAAACTTCTCGAACTTGAAATGAGTTAAGCTATGTGTAGTAGGTTGTTCCACTGTTAATGTAGATGATGTGTCGTCATTGTCATATTCCTCATGTCCGTGCAGCGCCATTATGTAACGTTATTACATTTAAATAGAATGAAATATATGAATGAAGAATCTTTTATTCTCAAGCACTTATAACAAAAGTAACAAGTAAAACAAACATTGTTTTTATGAAAACATCTGATTGAATTAAATTAAAGAACAGTATTTCAGCATACATAACACGCTGTTAAAGGAGCAAGGGAGCTTAGGATCGTGTACGAGCTGCAGGTCATTTGCCTCAGCCCAGGTTTCAAGTTTTGCCCCATTTTCACTTGTCCCTTTGTATCCCCAAGCAATGCTCTGACAATTAAAATCCCCCAAGACGAAATGAAAGTCATCATAGCATAGATTATCGGGCTCTGTAAATACATACTGAGATTCGGGAGGCTTATACAAAGAGGTGACACTGTACTGTGGTGTCCTGACCGTTAGTATGTCAGTATTTTTCCTGTCAGTCAGCGAAGCTGAGGTGATGTCAATTAATGGCCTGGCAAAAACAGCACTACCATATTGATCATGAGGTCTCTCTAGAATCAGTCTCATTCCCTCTATATTGGGTCTAGGTTTTAAAATGCCCCGGTGTGTTTCTTGCACAAGGAGGAAGTCGCATTCGTACGTCTTGCACATATCAGACAGTAATACTTCTTTGTCTCTCGATATTCCCTCGATACTAATCGAGATCATTACTAATGGCCTTGAAAAAGACCGTTTATGTAGATTCATTTTTCGAAGTCTTCCGGTTGTAGAAAGGATTTGCCGCTGAGATGTCAGCGTTGCCCGGGGTGCGCCCGATTGTGATGTCGTTTTTAGCGTGTAATGGTCAAAATCTTCGGGGAGGCTCCTTCTCTGCACCCCGGCTACCCTGATGATTGTGAGTAATGATCTTGCATTTTCGTATTAGATTGATAACTGGACGGCTGATTAGTTATAGTACTCGCATGACAATCAAAAGGTTGTCAGTTAAATCATGAGGAACGTCAATAGCTTTAATATGGTTCGAAGCTAGGCCCAGATATCCTTGGTTTGTGGGTTTTAATAATGGTCTGGTTTAGATTAGTTCAGTTTAGCTTAGTTTTGTTGATGATAGGCCTCATAACAAATAAGGAAATAGGCTTCAATTAATCAAAATACGTTTTGTACAGGAACGTTGGATTTCCCTCCTATTGATAACTGTTGGAAATCCATTACGTAAGCGCAGAATAAGCGTACTACTAGTTAAGTAAATAAATAAAACAGTTCATTACCTGAGAAATGAGTTTATTAAAACAACCAATATGGTATTCATAAATAATAAACCATATGAGTTATTTGTTCGTGCTGATCCACTATATTTAGATTCCTTCAAGATTTTCGTTCCATTGAAGACGTTCGTGTGCTCATTGATCCATGGAAGAAATGGACAGATATCCTGAAACATAATCAATATGGGACTGGAAAAACGTCATTATAGAAGGTGCAGTAGAACCTCTATAGCAAGCCTCTAGGGATTATCATATACGACTTCTTATCAAGGTTGACTTCTTAGCGAGATTTACAATAACATGTCATTTAGGACATTATAAATTCAAAGGGTATCATTATCAAGGGCCTTGTTATCAAAATTCTAATGTACCAGAAAACAGTGACCTAGGATTACAATAGTAATAACGGACAGCAGTATCCCGATTAGAACCATCACAACGCTACTGACTTTTCTCAGGGATGAACTACCGATCGTCTGGTTAATACGCGAGCAATATAACCGATAAGCTACCCAGCTCTATAAAATATAAGATAGGGAAAACAAAAATCCCAAATACCCCCGCCGCAGCGAACCTGCAGACTAAGCGAATTCAACTTATTACATATTTACTAAAATATTTTCACAGATAAGATATATTTATTCCCGGTTTAAATAACATTAGATTTAACAAGTGCTCAGGTTTGCTGCTGGGGTAGGTAAGCAGTGTTTTTGACCAAACATCATACCAAACATGGTATAGGATGAAATAAATAAATTTGCTAAATTTGATCAACATATATCCATAAACAAGTAAACTACAGCAGTTTTCATTTTCTCCATAAGAATCACATGGGAATTTTGAATTTTAAATTTTTTGAATTTTCTCCGTAACCATTAGGCATACAACAATGCTTCAATATACTAAATTATTTCTTTTTTAAGCTCTACAAAATGTTGTTCAAAGGTTTATTGTGGACATTTTCCATCACGATGGTCAAATGTCTAATAAACCATAAATCAAAATGTCCGCAATAATCCTTTGAACAACAAAACTCCCCATCACCAACAATGAACTTCAAACAAAGAATCTACAAAATGGTTGGGAAAGAAATTTCAAAAACTTAAAGTTTTTTTTGGGTTAAAAATGGAAAACCCCCATTTTACCTCATAATAACCCCTATAAACCCCCGTTGCAATGGTCCAATCATGCTGGTTCGCAAACTCATTCGAATAAATGTAGGTTTACACGTTTATACAAAATTTCATCAAAATCGGATGATTTTTGTTCGAGGTATCGTGCTAACGAACACACACACACACACACACACACACACGCACACACACACACACACACACACACCCACAGACATTACTTCGAAACCCACTTTTTTGGGTCCAGGGGGGACCCAAAACGAATATATCCACTCAAAACTCTAACTCGAAAATTTTGACGAAAACAATACTTTCTCCATATACTATGGTATAGGGGGAGAAAGTAAAAAATTATCTGAATTTGTAAAAAATACGTATGGACTAAATTAAATTTATTTTATGGTACAGAATTCAAAAAGTGGATTATTGGTGATACCCACTCTTCTTATCATCGGATCAGGCTGGTTCACAAAAGTATCCAAATAGAAGTTACTCCGATCTTGTGTTGATTCGGGGAGAATACAAAAGCTGTTTCCTCTATTAGGACATTCACTTAAGATTCAAATTTAAAATCAAAATTTTGTCAAAATATACATAACTCGCTGCAAAACCATAAACTATGATGAATTGTGTCTAGCTTACATCAAAACTTTAAAATATCTTCAAAAGCTAATTTCCACTCTTCAACGTAATAAATTAATTTTACCAAAGAGATTTTGACTAAATAAACTAGTCGGTTGCAAACAATGGCCGCGATCTATTCAATTCTGTACTCCGAAATGGGAAAACTTTTTTCATTACCGCCGCAAGCCCACCCTTATAATGAACTGTCAAAGGTAATGAATGCTTATTGTGAACTAACCATGCCGGGCGGTTAGGTTAACTGGGTCTGGATGCGGAAGTTAACACTTGCTGTTTGTCGCAAGTGGAATTCCGGTTTAAAAAATGAGTACATTAATGTGAATATTCAATGTAAAGTAAATTTTGTTTGCAAACATAATGTTAAGCAATTTTTTTTTTGTTTCAGATGCATCATCCTATCCAGATGAAACCAGCCGATAGTGAAAACAGAAATGGTAAGTAAAAATTTCAGTGATTTTTCGTTTATCAACGACTTTAGTTGTTACTACCGTTATGTGGTTGTATGGGAAAGGTATTGTAAATTTAACGTCGACCTTTTGTTAAAGCAAACACCAGTATTATTTCATTGATAGGTCAATTAAGAACCGATCTCTCTTGGAATAGAACTAGGGAATTATAAACTTGGAAGCGACCAAAAATACCAACCAGTTGGCTTCCTAGATAATTGTAATAAAATTTAGATTTACTTTTAGTTTTAGGTGTAAAATTGAACTTGATATTTCTAATGTATTTTATAACAGTCAAAAGAAGAAGTTTAAACTTGAAAAATCCTTAAATAGTATATTTCATTACTAAGACAAAAAGTGGCATTTTCCGGCGCACGCTCAAGTTTTTGTGCGAGGCGAAGCCGAACACAGGGAACCCCAATTTCACGTGTGAGGCGAAGCCGAATACGGGAATAATGGAGCAAGTGCCAGATAATAACTTTCGGTACAGGTTATGAACGATACTTTTCATCACGACGTAAAAATACACGAACACAGAATAGCAAACCGCAGTAATATTGCAACTATTTTATCTCTCAATTAATTTGATTGAACATCAAAATAAAATAAAATCTTCTAAAAGGAAACCTATATTTTTGATATATTTTTGATTAACTTTTAAAACAAAAAATAGGAGAAAATATTCTAAAGGAAACCTACGCATATTTCTCAATAGATTTTGTTCAAACATCAAAATATAAGATTAAAACAACTTTAACAATAAATACAGCTGATTCAAATCATTAAATTAAACCGTAACAAAATACTAGCACGCGTAGTGAAAATATGTAGAACTAACTGAGAGCGAGGGAAAATCAACTGATCGATTGTCCCTCGCCCTAAATTAGAGCTTGAAAAACGACTACTTTCATTGATGTCAGCTGTTATCGAAAATAGTTACTTTCGTTACGGAGTGATGAAAAATAAAATCTTATATCATCGTAATGTTTGAATTACTTTATGTATAACATTAATGGCTTTAACGAATTTCCCATATAGAGAATACACTATCACCGTATATCTCATGGGAAGACCTAGGCCCGGGATCACTTTAATTTTTCGTTTTGAAGTCCCCCAGGGGCCAAAAACATTATCCGTGAACTCATACATATTTAACGTTTTAACTATAAAAAATATTCATATGTTTAGTTGTGTACCGACGTACCGTATATTTAGTATAACATTGTACCATGACGCGTACAAAAAGGTAATAAAGCTACTCGTATAACAGATAAAGATAAACCGATGGTTTTTACCCCGCAAACCAGGTTAGGGCTTAATCATGGACGACATAATTGGCTATTTTCCGAGTGGTGGAATTGTAAAAACAACAACAGCTTGGTGAAAGCGCCTTTTAATTGCCACTCACCTCTGTTTGGACGAAAACCCGATACCTTTTTTGAATCGACGTGTTTTTGAACCAGTGAATACTTAGTTTTAGCGAATTTCCCTATAGGGAAGTAGCTATTACCGTAGGTGGCATGGTAAGACCTAGGCCCAGGACCGATTTACTTTTTCATTTTGATGTCCCCAGAGGCCAAAAACACCATTCGTTCAAATTTTTATATATGTGTATATATATATATATATATATATATATATATATATATATATATATATATATATATATATACTAGTGGCTTGTAGGGACATAAGTCCCTAAAAAGCTGAAATGTAAAACAACAAATTGCAATTCCGGTATTTAAACAAACTCAGACTAACATTATCTATGTGTCAGAATAGGCATCCCTACACCATATCTTTTGTGTAAAAGCCAGTTTGTTGTTCTTCTTTGTTTGCTTTTGTTGATGTCATTTTCAATAAATAATTTGAACAGATAAGGCACAAACATGAAAAGGTAACATGAAAAGGCAGCAAACATATCATTGTTTGTGAATAAATACTGGTTTACTAAGGTAGCTTTGGTCTTGTGGTTAATGAGGATAAATAAAAGCTTCCCTGTTTGGAATTTTAAAAATTCATTGGAGGTTCGCCTTCAGATGAATTGAAGACGCCTGCAATTTCATCTGCAGTAGGCTTATTATACCTACGACGATCCATATTTATCCTGTCTACAAACCTAAGTTCTAATTCACTGTCACCTTGTACAACCATTTCTTCCGAAGCTCTTTTGTAAATATGTGCAAATGGATTTTCTAATAGAATTTCAGCTAGTTTTGACAATATTTCAGGTTTTAAGTCACAATTTTCTCGACGCCTTTGACGAATTTCTGTTGCTGTTGATGTGTCAATAATGTACAATTGCCCATACACGGGGTCTTCATCATGTTGAGGCAGCAAATCTGAGATTGAACGATAAATCTGTCCTTGAATTTTGAAACAGTATGGTCCTTTTCCTGGAATATCTTTCTTACTGGCTGAAAAATAAGCAAAAGCCATCGCACTGTTGTATTGTCGAATGAATTTATACAGTTGTGGGCTCTCTTCAAACAAATGTTTAAGTTCTACATTAGTTTTTGGCTGAGGAAGGTTAATAAGTCCGTTATGGCAACATGTCATAAAATGATTATTCGTTAGTTCTTCTCTAAAATGAAGAGCACTAACATTATAACAAGTTAGTGGACTTGAATGCACTCTTGCATGGACTTGAGGACATTGAATGCACTCTTGTCCAATAATCCTGTATCATGGATCTTTACATTTCTCTCGTCTACCATGGGTCTCCTAAAAAGGGGTTGTAACATATCTTGATTAAGTTCGTCATTATCTACTCTTGCTCTTCTACGCGCACTGTCATTCCTATGAACAGCTCCCCGCCTTTGTGGTCTTCCCCTGGCGTTCATATTAATTACAGTACTCATAATGAAAAGAATATATATCCAGCAGCCTACATACCAAAACATCTTGAAACCCTGGTGATTTTATAAAAGTATGATCGAATATGATTACTCTTCGTTGTATATTCACTGCACAAAAAATATTTACTTACGAAGGAATGCAAATACACCATTTTAGAACCAATAACATTTGTAGGTTATTTTAGTTGTATATATTAACACAACCTTAACCTTAAAATGTGTAGAAATATAAAGAAAACAACATCATTTAAAATAAACTTGAACATATGATTTAAAAATAAAAACAAAACAGAAGTTAGATTTAATTTCGACTCTTTGATTATTTATACAGAATATTTATTCTATGTCGTTTATTCCTTTAACACGACAATAACGTAAAAGCATGACAAAATGAAACTTGAGTATATGATTTAAATATAAACAAAGAATGCAGACGTTTTTCCGATTAATCTTCAAGATTTCAGTTTTATTATAGTATACATTTCATAGTTGACTGGCTAAAAGTAAACCAAATGCGTGTATTGATATAGCACGATCAGCTGTATTGAAGTAAACAGAAATCAGCAGTAAATGACTTCTGTTTTAATTTCAAAAGATGTAAACAAACTAAACCCATGTTGTTTTAATGGGAAAAGTTTTATTCTGTTGCGAATTTATGGTAAAAAAATAAGAAAAATGAATAGTTTTCCCTCAAAATTCACGTCAAGACCTTTAAAATAAGACCCCTCCCATCCTTCTACGGCCATCCAGTCACTCACAATTTCTTTACAAAAATTTGACTTCCGGAATTATATATATAGACTAGTGGCTTGTAGGGACATAAGTCCCTAAAAAGCTCAAATGTAAAACAACTTTTTGCAATACGGTATTTAAACAAACTCAGAATAACATTATCTATGTGTCAGAATGCATCCCTACACCATATATTTTGTGTAAAAACCAGTTTGTTGTTCTTCTTTGTTTGCTTTTGTTGATGTCATTTTAAATAAATAATTTGAATCACTCCAGTGGTTTAACATGAAAAGGCAGCAAACATATCATTGTTTGTGAATAAATACTGGTTTACTAAGGTAGCTTTGGTCTTGTGGTTAATGAGGATAAATAAAAGCTTCCCTGTTTGGAATTTTAAAAATTCATTGGAGGTTCGCCTTCAGATGAAATTGAAGACGCCTGCAATTTCATCTGCAGTAGGCTTATTATACCTACGACGATCCATATTTATCCTGTCTACAAACCTAAGTTCTAATTCACTGTCACCTTGTACAACCATTTCTTCCGAAGCTCTTTTGTAAATTTGTGCAAATGGATTTTCTAATAGAATTTCAGCTAGTTTGACAATATTTCAGGTTTTAAGTCACTATTTTCTCGACGCCTTTGACGAATTTCTGTTGCTGTTGATGTGTCAATAATGTACAATTGGCCATACACGGGGTCTTCATCATATTGAGGCAGCAAATCTGAGATTGAACGATAAATCTGTCCTTGAATTTTGAAACAGTATGGTCCTTTTCCTGGAATATCTTTCTTACTGGCTGAAAAATAAGCAAAAGCCATCGCACTGTTGCATTGTCGAATGAATTTATACAGTTGTGGGCTCTCTTCAAACAAACTTTTAAGTTCTACATTAGTTTTTGACTGAGGAAGGTTAATAAGTCCGTTATGGCAACATGTCATAAAATGATTATTCGTTAGTTCTTCTCTAAAATGAAGAGCACTAACATTATAACAAGTTAGTGGACTTGAATGCACTCTTGCATGGACTTGAGGACATTGAATGCACTCTTGTCCAATAATCCTGTATCATGGATCTTTACATTTCTCTCGTCTACCATGGGTCTCCTAAAAAGGGGTTGTAACATATCTTGATTAAGTTCGTCATTATCTACTCTTGCTCTCCTACGCGCACTGTCATTCCTATGAACAGTTCCCCGCCTTTGTGGTATTCCCCTGGCGTTCATATTAATTACAGTACTTATAATGAAAAGAATATATATCCAGCAGCCTACATACCAAAACATCTTGAATCCCTGGTGATTTTATAAAAGTATGATCGAATATGATTACTCTATGTTGTATATTCACTGCACTAAAAACATTTACCTACGAAGGAATGCAAATACACCATTTTAG